AACAAAAGTCAATAAACACAGGACTGAATAACAAAAAGTAATCCAATTCTGAAGCAGACCAGTAGACCCTGCAGAGACTTTAAAGTTGGGGTGATGGTCTTTCAGTCCCTCATTTACACTTGTGCACCTGAGTTTTGTAATATTTGAGGCGGAGCTATATTTTTAGAGAGAATGTGTTCTTTTGCAATGATTTTCAGATGACAAAATGCCAATCTTATTATATTATGAATATGTGTTTTTAACTCTGTCACTCATATCTCCCCCCTCTGTGTCTGTGTTCAGTCAAATGCTCTCCCTAGCCATGTGAAGATCACCGTCTCCAGACAGACGCTGTTTGAAGACTCCTTCCAGCAAGTAAGACGATCCTTCTACCACTGTGCGCTTAAAACTAAAACTAATGCTAAACAGCACACACAGTAATGCAAATCAAGTGCCGTGATGCTTCACAGCCAACATTCAGAGTTTTCCTCTGCTTTATTGGACAAACTGCTGCAAACTGTGCCGAAGACTTTCATTGTCATAACTTCACTGTAGCTATGCACAAATGACAATAGAATCCTTGAATCCTTGAATCCTTGAATCCTATGTCCCTTCCTGATCTTGTGTGTTTTCAGATTATGGCCCTGAAGCCTTACGACTTGAGGAGGAGACTCTACGTTATCTTCAGAGGAGAGGAGGGTCTTGACTATGGAGGCTTAGCCAGGTAATGTACAAAACAAAGTATATTGTGAATTCAAAATGATTTAACTAGAACATTTGTTTTTGATCATGTTCAATTCTTGTCTCCCACTCTTTCTTACCAGAAATACACTTTAATCTCCTTGCCTCTGTCTTTTGTCCCACTTTGCAGAGAGTGGTTCTTCTTGTTGTCCCATGAAGTGCTGAACCCCATGTACTGTCTGTTTGAGTACGCGGGCAAGAGCAACTACTGTCTGCAGATCAACCCGGCCTCAGCCATCAACCCGGACCACCTCTCCTACTTCTGCTTCATCGGCCGCTTCATCGCAATGGTAAGTCCCACATACACATGCCAATAGTGCTGCTAAGCAACACGACAAATTCAGTTTTTACTTTAAATATGATGACTCAAATAAGAAATAAACATGGATCAACAACAATTATTAAATCATGTTTAAACAAAGAAGTTTATTAAGTTCTCTCTTTTAAAACAAACAATTCTTTTCTGCAGGCACTTTTCCACGGCAAGTTCATCGACACAGGCTTCTCTCTGCCTTTCTACAAACGCATGCTGAACAAGAAGCTTATCCTCAAAGACCTGGAGTCCATCGACCCAGAGTTCTACAACTCACTCATATGGATCAGGTAATGTGTCTTTGCTCTGCACAGCCTTCAGTACACGTGTCCGTTTTTCATTTCATTTTGGTAAAGACTTTGATTAAAGAGCCAGTGTGCATTTTCACACTTGTGTCTCACTAGCGCCGATGTCTTTAGACAATACACATTTCTGCTAACATCCATAAAGTTACATATTAGCATTATTTCCCACTTTCATAGAGTTACTTATAATTATCACCAAATACATTTCAGACTTTTTAAATAACCTTTTAATGTCACTTTGTTAATATTAAGACACCACTGTTAAACAACAACATTGAGCTATTTTGAGAACAAAAGTCACTTTTCTAAAACTGCAAAAATAAGATTTATTATTTCAGCTTTCTCTGAGTTTGGTACGTATTTTAATTTTAGACGGATGCACTTTAAATACTTTGATTGACCTCTAGAGGAGGCCAAACGAGCCTTCAAAGATCAAGGTTGTATATAAACGTGTAACGAATGAGACACTGTTATTCCATATAAATGTTTTCAACCCTTTCTTACTTCACTCTTCTCAGGGACAACAACATTGAAGAGTGTGGTCTGGAGATGTACTTCTCAGTGGACATGGAGATCCTGGGGAAGATCACTTCTCATGACCTCAAACCCGACGGCACCAATGTTCTAGTCACCGAGGAGAACAAGGAGGAGTACATCGGGTCAGTTTAACAGCTGTTTTATCAAAGTGCCAACTATATATATATATATATATATATATATATATATATATATATATATATATATATATATATATATATATATATATATATATATATATATATATATATATAAT